GAAGAAGGGTCCCAACACAAAACGTCAGCTTTCCTGCTCCTCTGATGCTGCCTGGCCTGCTGTATTCCTCCAGCTCCACACTGTGTTATCTCTGACTCCAGCATCAGCAGTTTTTACTATCTCTCATTAGTTAGATCCTTCAGGTTACAAATTAGAAACTTTTGGAAAAAAGAAGGTTAATTTTGAAGAACAGCCATGAAGACATATTTGCACCTGAAGCATTAATTGTTCCGGGAAACGTCAGCCTTCCTGCTCCTATGATGCTGCTTGGCCTGCTGTGTTCATCCAACTCTACACCTTGTTATCTCGTATTAATTATTCTGTTTAGTTCACATTGCTGTCCACTGTAACCAGCATATTCAGCTTTGTCCCATGACTTGTGATAGCCTAGGAAAGCCTAACGTTGAGTAATTTTGAATTGTAAGCATTAGTGACAATCTCTATTCTTATTACTGTAACACCTTACAGTACATTATTATGACTAACTTTAGTGGCTTTAGACCTTACAATGTCAAGAATGTTGAGCTGAGTGAATGAAGTATATCCCAACTCTAACTTCTGGTCTCCCTTAGAGTTTACACATCAATTCCAAAGCAGATCAGAATGTCACCTGGCACTGCAACCTTATTTTAAATATTACAACATTTCAAAAGCACTTCATTGGCTATAAAGTCTTTTGGGACGTCCTGAGATCATGAAAGGTATTATATTAATGCCTTTAATTATTTCAGTGAAAAATCATCCAGGCAAATTCCTGAGCACTTTATTACTGAGTTTTTCTAAAGTTCATCCTGAAACAGCTTTTTTGAAAATGGTGAATCTTGTACAATATGTTAATATGCTACAATACGTAATAAACACACAAAGGCTCAAGTAAAAACCTAATGGATGACATTGAAGATATTTGCAGACAATTACATATATTTTCACACCTTTGTTTGAAGAGCGATGTCACAGAGACCTCTATCCTGTGTGTAAAGCTGTATTAGCATTAGCAATTCATGCTTAGCAAGTACAATAACATATTAGCCAGGGGAATACTGGTTAGCAAATATTCATTAGGACTCAATTTACTATTAAAAGAGAGAAATACTATGCTCCCATCATTGAAATGAAGCCAAGCCTAATGCATTTTAATGAAGTGGAAATAGGCCTGCTGTCAGCTCTAAGACAGACTTCTTTGTTTCAAGTTTTTTCAGTAATGTGAATGAGTAAATGCCACTAATGCAAGTAATCTGTAGGGTCATGGTGAAAACTTTACTGCTTGATGCCATCGAAGAATTCATTAATTTTGAAATGCATTTTGAATTTCTTTTAAAAATCAGCCCTGTCATGTCCAATTGGAAATATTTAGCACAGCAAATTGTACGACATTACTTTGTATGAATCTACCTTTCTCAATTCATTCATATTGTGCTCAACCAGGAGCATCCAGCTGCTCAGTGAAACAATCACTTTTCATTATAAAGCCTGAGCTGTACGAGGTAAATAATGTGCTTTGAATTCAAGGCGTTGTCCATTTCAAAGTAAACCAGAAGACACAAGTGAAACTCAAGATCCTCACAAGCTTTTATATTTACGCCCCTTTTTGCAGTGCTGTTATGTAAAGACTCAGAAACTGACGTTTGAGAGCAAAGATGCCCACCAGGCTTAAGAGAGGTCCGTACTGCAACTTCCTTCCTAAATACATTCCACCTCTCCCCTGTTCTATTTACCTTTAAAATGTTCATGGAAACTTACCTCCATTACCAAGAATCTATCCTAATATCTCCTTACCTGTCTCAGTGTCAAATTTTGTCTGATACTGTTCTGCAAAGCACCTTGGAATATTTACAAAATGCAAACTATAGTTCCTTATTAAATAATAAGTTAACCTTATTAACTTTGGTTTTGTATATTCCCCTTACTCCCTTGTCAATGCATCTGGCAATTTTCCAGTGTCTCTGTACGTCTCATCCATGGCTCAGAACCTGGAAGTACAATGGACATTTTAACTTGTAATTCCAAAGTACCCTGTATTCAAAAGATGATTGCTGCATCTAAAAATGGCTGCGGAAATAAATTTGTGGTCTTCTGAAGAGAGAGATAGCCTGATGGAATATCACACCTACAGATGCGAAGGGACCTTTAAGCCATTTAAAAGGGGGAAGGGGCAAACCAAAGCAGATGGACAGTGAGATAGTAAGAACTGCCGATGCTGGAGTCTGAGATAGCACAGTGTGGAGCTGGAGGAACACAGCAGGCCAGGCAGCATCAGACCATCAGGAAAGCTGACGTTTCAGGTCGGGACCCTGCTTCAGAAATGGGGGAGGGGGAAGGGGGCTCTGAAATAAATACAGAGGAGTGGGGCGGTGATAGCAGGTGGATAGTGGAGCGGAAAGGTGGGAGAGAAGACGGACAGGTCAAGGAGGTGGGGATGAAGCTAGTAAAGGTGAGTGTAGCTAGGTGGTGGTGGGGATTGGTCAGTGAGGTGGGAGGAACGGATAGGTGGGAGAGAAGATAGACAGGTCAAGGAGGCGGGGTTGAGGGGGTGTGCTGGTCTTGGGATGAGGTTGGGGCTGGGGAGATTTTGAAGCTAGTAAATCCACATTGAGACCATCAGAGGAGAGACCATTGGGTTGTAGGGTTCCAAGGCGGAATATGAGGTGCTGTTCCTCCAGTTTCCGGGTGGCATAGTTGTGACACTGGAGGAGGCCCAGGATGGACATGTCGTCCAGGGAGTGGGAGGGGGAGTTGAAGTGGTTCACGACTGGGAGGTGTTTTCATTGTCGCAAACTGAGCGTAGGTGCTCTACAAAGCGGTCTCCGAGCTTCCGCTTGGTCTCACCGATGTAGAGGAGGCCACATCGGCAACAGCAGATACAATATACCACATTAGCGGATGTGCAGGTGAACATCTGTTTGATGTGGAAGGTTTTTTTGGGGCCTGGAATGGAGGTGAAGGGGGAGGTGTAGGGGCAGGTGTAGCACTTCCTGCGGTTGCAGGGAAAGGTGCTGGGGGTGGTGGGTCTAGTGGGGAGTGTGGAGCAAACAAGGGAGTCACGAATAGCGCGGTCCCTCCGGAAGGCAGCCTCCCCACCCTCATCCTAAGACCAGCCATCCTCTCATCCCCGCCTCAATGACCTGTCCATCTTCTCTCCCACCTATCCACTCCTCTCACCTCACTGACCAATCCCCACCACCACCTATCTGCACTCATCTTTACTAGCTTCGTCTCCACCTCCTTGACCAGATGGACAGTGATCTCTTTCAGCAATAGAGACAATACCAAGCTGACAACACCCTGCTTACTATCTCCCCAAACATAGGACAAGTGTTAAAAAGCCAGTTTCAACTCAGCTAGCATGTACTAAAAATCCAGTGTGTTGGGTTTGAGCATTAGTAGATGTGAGGGGCACAGTCAGAGAACCTGGATTTCAAAATTCTATTGCCATTTTACCAGCTTGGCTCCAGAATCCTGATGAAATTCACTTTCACACGAATCTTTGATGGTAAATGAGTCGCAGTTGGCAACATGAGGCACGTCTAGCTGGAGAACTGGTCCCCCACACAGAACATGGTGCATCACTGTGGAGGGAATGTATTTCTGAGGTGGTTGAAACTGTTTTTTTGTCCTACTTAATGTCAGTTTCGCTTGAATCCCATTCATCCAGGCAAGTCAGTGTATTCCATTGCATTGCTGACTTGTATCTTCTGGATGGTGTAGGCTGGGGGGGGCGCAGAAGAAAGTTACTCACCACAGAATTCCCTGCCTCTGATTTGCTCTTGTACCCATTGTTTTTATGAGACAGTTATAATTAAATTGTGATCGGTGGTGACACCCAGGTTCTTGATAGTGGAAATGCAATGGCTGAGTGGCAAATGGAGGTGGATAGGACTCACTCTTATTGAAGATGATCATTGCCTGGCACTTGTTTGGTGCAAATGTTACTTGTTACTTGTCACTTGACCAAACCTGAATGTTGACCAGTAATTGCTGCACACAGTCACAGATTGCTTTAGTATCTGAGTAACTGCTCATGGACCTGCCCCCTTATGAAGGAAGGAAGGATATTGATAAAGCAATTGAAGATTGTTGAGCCTATGCGATTCCTCTAAGGAACTCCTGCAGAGATGTCCTGTCCTACAGCTGAGATGATTGTCCTCCAACAACCATAACCATCTTCCTTTATATGAGGTTTGGCGCCAACCAGCAAATAATTTTCCACTTGATTCCCGTCGGCATCAGTTTTGTTAAGCTCCTTGACAAATACTGCCATGATATCAAGGACAGTCATGCTTATTCCATCTCTTGAACTCAACTCCTTTGTCCATGTTCAGATTAAAACTGTAAGAAGATGTGGAGCTGACTGGCCCTGGATGGGACCCAACTTGAGCATCAGTAAGCAGATAATTAGTGTGTAGCACCTGATAGCTGTGATAATGTAATCCATTACTTTAATGTTGACTGAGAATAGACTGATTTGGCATTAAACAACCAGACTGTATTTGTACTGCTTTTAATACCTGGACAATTTCTTTACTTTTTTAGGAACATGCTAGTTTTGTAACACTACTGTTGGAACAATTCGGTGCAAGGTGTGGCTAGCTCTAGAAGACAAGCCTTTGGCACTACAGCAGAATACTCAGGACCCATAGCATTTGTTGCATCTGGTTCACTAATGTCCTTTAGGGAAGGAAACTGCCATCCTTACCTGGTCTGGACTACATGTGACTCCAGACCCACAGCAATGTAGTTGACTCTTAACTGTCCCCCGGCAATGAGGGACAGACAATAAATGCTGGCCTAGCCAAGGATGCCTCATCCTGTGAATGAAAATGAATTTAGTATTTTCTTTGTGTCATGTGGAATGAATGGAACTGGCTAAAGTTTGGCTTCTGTAAAAGTGAGCACCTCAGCAGAGGGCCAAAATGGTTCATCCACTCTGAGCGTCTGCCTAAGGGAGGTTGCGAATGTTTCAGCCTTGTCTTTTGCTCTCAATTGCTGACACTATTAAAGATGGGAATATTCATGCAGCCTCATCCCTCATGAATTATCCAATATTCACATCATTCATAACTGGATGTGGCACGGCTGGATGTGACATCCAATAAAATTTCTCCTTCATCACATGCATACTTTTGCTGACAGTGCTTGATGTGGAAATGGTTTAGGACCAGAATGGTAATCTATCAGGAAAAAAATAAATTAATTGAAATAGAAGCACTGTAAGATACCCCCTACATTCAGTTGCTCACCCATCCATTCTTTATTTTCTTAGCTGAAAAGAAAATATTCTATCAGAAGTAACAGGTCACAAAAGGTCTTCTTTTGACATCAGTGGTTTAATTAGTTGTCTTTTTTGTATGATACTAAGACATAGAAGCTAGTATATATTGTACCATAGTAAGCGGCAACCCTTAATGTGTCTTTTTCAAACAGGTTTTGAACCGAGGTGCTGATTTTGGTATCTTCTGTTTCTGTACTACATTTCAACTCTTTCAATGCAGTGCATTCTTTCTTCTGCAGGTCCTGAAGGTTGCAACCTTTTTATCTATCACCTTCCTCAGGAGTTCGGAGATGCTGAGCTCATGCAAATGTTCCTGCCTTTCGGTAATGTCATCTCCTCAAAAGTGTTTGTGGACCGAGCGACAAACCAAAGTAAATGCTTTGGTGGGTACAGATAAAAAAAAAAGTTCAATTGCTAGTCTGTGAGAAATAATTTTAAAGACTAGATTTTATGTCAATACACTGAAATAATTATGTCTAAACAATGAGTCATTGAAAATTATGAAGGATTCTGCTCTTCTGTAGATTAACCTTTCACCTTTCCCCTCAGCAACCCAGCTGAAGCTTTGACTAACAGTTCTGTTTTGCTGAGGGAAAAGGGATTGAACTATATTTAACATTGCAATATTCCTGCTTTGCTTTTAGATTACCAGAAACTCTTGTACGTAGATGTGCAGAATACTGTATTTCCTTGAATGGAATAAGGTCCTTGAATACTTTTTGTACAAACAGTCAAGGGTTATAATTGAAAAATTAAACAAAACCCCAATGAACAATCCATTATGTTATGACTGACAAAACTGTTTTGGAACAAGCACAAACCCCAGCCTGTAGTTGCATTTGAATATTTTCTAGAACAGAATAAAACATGGGCTTTGTCACATGTGTTTCTGGAATATGACAGCTCTTGTTCTGGTGTTCTGTTTATTGTTTTTTCCAAAAGTGAACTGAAAACTTGCAGCTGAGTCATTGCTATCTGCCATGGGTCTAGAAAGGGAATAGTAATCTCCATTTGGATTCAGCACAGATTTGACAAGAGACTAATTGATCACCTCTTATAAAAGAAAATTATCTCTCCAAAAGAAGGTCTGAATTATTCAAGCCTGAGGCAGAAGTTATGTCATTGACTTATTTTTAACAGTATTGTTTCACATTTTTACTAACCTCAAAATCTGAGAAATTAATAATCCCCAAGTAACTAGATTTAAATAGTTGTAAGGGACCAAGGCCACATTACCACCAGAATGTGTTTTGCAGACAGCAACTCTCTATGCATTTTCCTGTGGTATTTTAGTGCTGTCTCCAACAAACTTATTAATTACACATGAGATAATATCTGTTTTGTAAAATACAGTCATTTGGTTCAAGGAAATAAGATATTTATTGATTAACCTGTATGCAGTGGAGCTCAAGAAGTAGTACACTTAAAATACACAGTAATGTTGATGAAGATTGTAAAAAACTAAGTTAAAAATAATGCTTGAAACTTCCAGAAAAGATCCTGAACAGGATCAAAGACTGCAAGTGGGTCCCACTGTAAACACCTTCACCAATTTAATGACCTAATTAGTGAACATCAAGTACATTTTGTAGCATCACAGAATGACCAACTATGGTGTGTAAACATATTTAATGCAGAGAGGAATATAAATAAAAGATAACATCAAAATATTTCATAATTTATACTATTTCATTAACGTCAAAAATGCTAAGCGTAGTATGTTCAGTGGTTGAATTCTCAAAAATAAGTTCCTTCAATGGTTTCCTTCACATTTCAAGCTGTATGTTTGTTAAACTGAGGAACAGAGATTTTCAAACTGTGTTTTACTGTAATATGGGATTTCCAACACCTTTTTTTGTATATCATCATATGGTACACATGTCACTAATAAAAAACAATACAAAGAACTAAAGTCATTTCCAACAAATTAAATGCTCTATTGGTGTGTGCTACAAGTACTGACTTCAAACAAATGTAACCTAAGATCAAAGGTAATGTTTGGCTTATGTGGCATTTTAAACTTTACTCAATGGACATTGCAATTATTCTCAAGAAAGACCATCAAAGGTTGTTCATCCCTGTGGCATTCAATGGAATATTGGTATTCGCTGCTCGTAAAAAAGTAGTAATGTACAGTATCCAAAATGTAATATTGTCATTTTTTTCAAAATTTCAAAATAAGCACAATAATTCACTTGATTCTTGTGCTTTACCAGTTCATCTGATTGCTACTCTTCATGGGTTTCCCCCAAAGGACACAACAGTATATTTAAACCCTTTAAGGACTGCAATTGGGTTGCTGCAATAAGTTCAAAATTCATGTAAGAACAGAACTGATCCAGTTCTGAATGAGCAATGAGATTTTATCCAATTTTCTATTTTATAACAATCCATCTGCAGTGATGTTGTAATCATTAAAAAGGTATTAGTATTTTTAAATCAAAAGATTCTTTTTATGGTCCTCAAAGGGTTATCACAGAAGTTTGAATTGATGGCTGATATTTACAGTGTTTAAGAAATAAGGAGTGTATTTGAATGCATAATTTAGTTACTAAGCATTAGAATAAAGCTTAAAAATTTCACAGCTGGATATTGCCTATTTATCTTGAAGGGGTGTGCAGTGATTTAACTTTGAATCTGACTGACTAACACACAGGTTCCCAAGTATTGTTTTATTTAAAGCATTTCTTTACATTTTGATAAGAATACGTTAAAGTGACCTATAACACACATTTTTAAATCATTGGCTTTCAAATTTAGGTCACTGGACTCTAAGAAGAGATTCAAAGGTTATCAGATTACTGTCTGTATGCTATAAAATTTTGAATTCCCTTGCCTTTGCTGTCTTGCCAGCATGTTACTTCTGCTGGTGTAGACTTAGAGGAAATATTTCTAGTGATGTTAACACTGAGCAGTCAGCACACTCCTTCAGGTGTCAACACAGGTTTTCCCTTTGACTATTGTCGAATTTGCAGATGAATAGTTTGAAAATGAATGTATTGAATAGTTTGGAAAAACTACTGCCCCACCAATTCAAAGACCCATTTTGATAGTTCATCTGAGATGATGAGGATTTTAAATGAAAATGAGCAAAATAATTTCTGCTAATTAAGGAGCAAAGTTTTCATTCAAAATACTCATTTTCTCGGATGAACTACTACATAAGTAAAATAAGTCTTCTCTCTCTGGCTCGAAGTTTCCTACCTTTAAAGAGGCAAAGATGGTTCAAATCAGTATTTCTAAACAAACAATGTTCACAATGTTATAGATTCAACGGTGGCAAAACGGCAAAGGTTAAATTAAGCTGGCTATCCCAATATGGAACAAATAAAGGCACCTTATACTTGAATAAACATGAGCTTCCCATTACATTGTGGAATATTTGCAATCTGACATTATAATCATTAGCAAATAGTTCACAGCAGAGTCTCCTTTGAAGCTATGAACCCTATCACTAACAAGTTTTAAATTTTCACAATGCATGACTCCACTAGAGATTGCTACCTACTCACAAGTGTATAGACTATTTTAGAAGCTTTTCATCTTGCAATCATCGGGACATTTTTCAAGAATACTAAATAAGAAAACGTCTCTGCAGACAGAAAGACTATGTACACACACTGCACCTGTTTCAACTCAACATAATAGTTGAACATCATCCATCGATTTCTTTCTAAGGCTGGCAGTTAACAGTCAATCATCAGTAACTGCTGCATTCTCCATGTCAATATCTCTATCAATCAGATTCATTTGGCATCCAATTAGCACTTTCCTGTTATACAATATTAAGGTTGCTTCCTCTTACATTGGTATTTTTGTGAATGTCCTGATGTGTACAAGATGAAAATCTTTGACAAAATACGTTTTTTTGCAGCAATATTCAAGTTTGTATGACCAAACAACTATATATTATTTTATTTTTAAAAGCTACTAATCCCTACTTTCTCTTTTCCATGTTTCAATACTTGGGAAAAACCACTGGGTAACTCACATTCTTATACTTTAATTAATCTCATAAAAATTGATCAGTGGATGAAAATTTGCCAATGATACAGCGGTAGACAGCATTGTGAGCAGTTTAGATTGAAGCATGCCATTACTCAGAGGTATCAATAGCTAAAGAGAATGAGCAAAGTTGTATAAAATGGATTTCAATGGAGTCAAATGTGAGGTTATCCATTTTGAATATAAAAAGAATAGAAGACCACGCTTTGTAAATAATGAAATTCTAGAATCACTGGGGATCCAGACACCTGGGTCCAGTTTCATAGATCATTTAACATCATAAATAGAGTTAATGGAATGCTAGCCTTTATATTTAGAGACTTCAATATAAGGACACAGAAATCATGCTTAAGTAATACAAATCCAGATCACAGCTGGTATTCTGGCACCTCTTCTTACAAAGGCTGTACAGGTCATGAACAGCCATAGATTTACCAGAAGTATATCTGGACTCCAATGTTTATAATAAAAGAAGAGATTCCACAAACTAATCTTATATTCCCTGGAAATTGAGAAATGTTAAGGATTGATTAATCAAAATTTTCAGGATGTTAAAGGGAACTGATAGGTTATAGAGAGAAACTATTGTCACTGATTTGGGATTCTTGGATATAAGACCCTGGTCTAAATGTTAGGGGAGTGGAGCCAGGAAACACTTCTACACATTGGAACTCTCTTCCACGAACAGCAATCCTGATCCCTGCAGCACTCCTCAGGTTGCCATCTGGAAAATGCCCCCTTTATCTCAACTCTCTGTCTTTGATTACTTCAACATTCTTCTATCCATAATACAGGTACTATATCTTACTACTCTTACTGTACTTAGATTCTTGACGGGAACTTCTATTTAGATGTACCCCAAAAATAATCAAGCAATTCTCCGAAATGTCCAAATGTGAGAGTAAACAGGAAAGAGCGTGGTTATTGTTAGTCATTTCTCGCTCGACTCTGACATCTAATCTCTCAATACTCTTTTGTCCTTTTTATTTTTACTGTGATGTGTCTCGCTGAGGTTACTATGAAGGACTCCTCAACCTCTTCCCTGGTCTAAGGCACAGGGACCCTCAGGTTAAACCACCACCAGCATCTCTCTCTAATGAGAGAGCAGCCCTGTGGTCTGGTAGGACTATAGTGACTTTACATTTTACAGGTGTGTCTAAACATTCTTCCCAAGCATAATATTCTGTTTCTGCTCGTACATCAGGAGCTAAAAAATTATGGAACTATTTTACCTTCTAACCGTTACATCCAAAATTACCATCTCTTTTCCTTTATTCTATCTAACTTCAGTAGCATCCTGCAATGTGAGCCTTGTAACTTCATGTTTGCTATATCCTCATTTCTCCACATATTAGTTATAGCTAACAGCACTTTTCAG